GTCATATGGTAATTCCATGTTTAACTTTTTGAGGAGCGACCAAACTTTTTACTTTTTTAATTTGGCCTCTAGAAACCTTGCAATTACATAGGTGGCTTGCATTATATTTCTCTTGGAGAGCGCTGCTCTAGATGTTTCTTTCTGCCCAAGAATTCCACAGATGCTAACCTCTCATGTCTGTATACCGCCCTATCTGCCAAGCAGGATTGGAGGAATATAGTACTATAAATATAATACTATGACAGGAAACTGAAAATCATTATGCCAAGAGTAAAAGAGAGCCAAGAGAATAATAGAGAGGGTTATCACGAAGAGATTAAGTGCAATTCAGTAGGGATCTGGAGTATAGAGCCGGCTATGTAACTTTTTCTTAGAGTGCCTGGAAAAGGCTGGGAGGAACTCAGACAATACTGAACTTTTCCCTTAATTAGGCTTCCAAAAATGTGGACCGGTTCATTTCTCTTGCCTGGAAGTGGCCTATGACTTAGACCTCTGCTGCCCTCTGGTGGCTCTGAGAATAAAGGCACCCCGCCAAGAATTCTTTCCACTCAAAACTCCCCACCCATTGTTGTTCCCACTAGCGTCCCCAAAGCAGCTCAGCCCAGGATCTGAGGAGAGGAGCATCTGAACTCCCCACCACTCTAAATAGGCCTTGAGCCCTCGCTGAATACCCGCACCCCATCTTCAGGGTCTGGGCTCTGCCCCCACCCTCACAAACTGCCTTTCATTTCCCTGCCCCGGTTGCAAGGGGGGGGGGGGTTCCTGGTTCAGGCTGGAGCTGGGACCCAGGTCACTCCTGGAAGAAAGCAATTCAAGAGCTGCTATCTGATGTTCGGTATGTAAGACCAGGAGGGCAGAGTGACCAGAATATGAATGAGAAAGCATGAAAGAGAGAGTATGAATAGGTCACAGATATCCAGGGCCAAGATCCTACCAGACAGGGTCTCAGGGCTAGAAGGGAATGTAACTCTTGTGGAACTGATGTTTGTCTCTCTGTCCCCTTCTCTTTCTCTTTTTCTCCCTCCCTGTCCCTCTCCCTCCCTCCCTCTCTCTCTCTCCCCCTCTCTTTCTCTCTCTCCCTCCCTCCCTCTCTCTCCTCTCTCCCCCTCTCTCCCTCTCTCTCCCTACAGAGAGAGAAGCAGCCCACCCCAGCTCATGCAGCCAATCTGGACTGGAATCCAGAGTTTCCCTTGCCTGTCCCTTTTCCTTACTTCCAAAAATATCACAACTGATCCCAAACCACTTGCCTACCTCCATTTTATAGTGAGAGAAAGAAGAATACCAAAATTGTTGAAGCATACAGACCAAGGTTCAAACTAGCCCTGCAACTCACTCTGAGACCCTGGGTGAGTTATTTAAATGTTCTGTTTCCTCATGTGAAAGACACAGGACTTCCCAGGGCCGCTGTGCATGTCAGGTTCTTAGCCCAGCACCTGGGACATCGTCAGTGCTCAGTGTTAGCTGTTAACTCTTTGGGGGGCTTCTTCATTCTTTTCCGGAGCTTGTGAATCTATAGGAAGCTAGCCTTCTAGGCACCAACCCCCCTGACAAGAGGACTTACCTTGGGTAGGAAAAGGAAAGTGGTCCTCAAGAGCACCCCCTTGCCAGGGGCATGGGTTGCGCCTCTAGCCCCTCTCACCCCACATATCCCACTTACCAATGACATTATGCCGCCCGGAGAGTAAGATCCAGAAGAGCAGCAGGGAGAGGATGCAGAGCCCATGATGTCACTGAGGCGGCACACGTGTGCAACCTGGGGTCTCTACCACTTGATGGTCAAGGAAAGGGATGGAGAAGTAGGGAGCTCAGAACCCACTGACTTTGGTCAAAGAACAGGTCTGAGATGACTCACACTTGAGGACTAGTAAGTATCAGAGCCCCAGAAATTCCTGCCCACTGTGCGGAAGTGTTGGAGGAGGTCATGGAGATGACTGCCAGTTGACGTGCAAGCTGGCCCTGGGCAATCGGGGGTTCCTCCCCCTGCCCTGTCCTTGGAATGTACCTCCGCCCACCTTTCCCACAGTGGGAGCCATTTTCAAGGATGTGGCCTTGAGGGAGCGAGGTGTTGTTGAGACCCTCTGGCCAGTGTGTGTGACTGAGCCCCGTAAAGGCCTCTCTGTAAACTGTTAAGGTTCTGGCAGGCAGGCGCTGAGATCTGCTGGCTTCCAGAGCCCAAGACAAGCGTTGTGTGTAAGTTCCCTTGCTTATTACACCTGTCACCTGCTGATCGGGAGTGACCTCTTTCCTTGTCTCAGCTTGCCCTCTGCGTATGGGGAGCTGGTTTCGATTTCACCCCCAAGCGAGCCACCAGGAAGCTGATGGGGAGGGGTGTGTGTGTGGTTTTTCAGTCTGGTCAGAGCTAATTTCAGGGTGTAAGGTTAGGGCATCCAGAGGAGCAGGGCCCACTGAGACCTGCTCCCCCAGGCCTGAGGCTGAAATGGCCTTAAAGTGAGGAAGGAAAGGTTCTGATGGCTTCTTTGGTTTAGGGTACAACAATAGGAAAAGAGGCCTAGAAAGGCCCCAGGGTTGGGGGAGGGGGACATGGAATTTGGCCCCATCTCAACCTTTGACCTCCAACTCCAACACAATCCCAAGGTCAAATTCAGCCCTTTGGATCATGCTTTTTCTCTCTCTCTCTCTTTCTCTCCCCTCCCCCCGCCCCATGTTGTTGCTCCCATGTGGACAGGGTGGGCTGCCCCAGATGAGGAAGAAAGATCTGGAAGGGACATCTCTCCTGATGCTCAGCCTGAGCTGCGCTGGGGCTCACACCTCCCTTTCCAGTCTCGCCCCCACCCCCAGCAGAAAATCACCCTTCAGTATTTTAAGATCCCAGGACTGCTGTTTTCACTGAAGACTTCTCCATATTGATTTTTTAGGTGGCATCCACGTATTATCTTGATTTTTTTAATAAACAATAACACAATAAGCAAAACAATGGAAGAGGAACCTACCAAAATGTTCGGCAGCCTATTACACTGACACTGGGGGGTCCTCCTCGTTCCCTGCACTCTAAGCCTGGAGCCCTGAGTGTCCCTAGGATGGCCACTTCAAGGCTCATGCCAGCCACTCTTCTTCAGATCAAACACAGACATGTCTACTCAAAAAAATGAGTGTTCTGAACCCAGTAGAAACCAGAATTTCACAGGTCAGTGTGAAAACAGAGGGAAAGGGGGCAAAAAAGACAGCAGTGATGGAAATTATTTTTAATTTTAAAGATTTTTATTTATTTATTGAGGGAGGGGCAGAGGGAGAGAGAATCTTGAGCAGACTCAGAGCCCGACACAGGGCTCCATCTCACGACCTTGAGATCACGACCTGAGCCAAAATCAAGAGTCGGACGCTTAACTGACTGTGCCAACCAGGCACCGTGGAAGTTTTTTTTTAAGTTGTAACTTGCCTTTTTCCATTAGAGTTGGGAATTACAAAAACCTTTTTGCAATATTCAAGGTGAGTACTAATATTGTCTTTCTTGTTATAAAAGCCCTGCCTACTTAGCAATTTGTCCAAATTTTGAATGCATATGTCCTTTGACCCAGTACGACACATGTGGTTCATTACTTACCTCCCCCAAAATCATTCTCTCCTTCTTCCTTGCTAATAGAATCTCAATTTTTAAATCCAGGTGGGCCCCTCCCTCAGCCTCAAGGATGAAGCACGTTTAAGACTGTCACATTTTCCCTTTCCCATTTGCAGACATTTGCTTTTCCAGCCAATGAGAGGATGAGGGAAATGTGGGGAGGGGTCAGCTTCCGGGGAAGATGGTCTCTGAGATTAAAAGGAGAGCACCCTTTGAGGTAAAGGTCTTTTCACCATTACCCTCGCCACAGACCTTCTTTTTTTTTAAAGATTTTATTTATTTATTTGAGAGAGAGAGTGAGAGAGAGAAAGAGCACAAGAGTGGGGAAGCGGGAGAGGGAGAAGCAGACTCCCTGCCAAGCAGGGAGCCCGATGCGGGACTCGATCCCGGGACTCCAGGATCATGACCTGAGCCGAAGGCAGTCGCTTAACCAACTGAGTCACCCAGGTGCCCCGCCACAGACCTTCTTGCTGTGACGTCCAGAGCTGCAGCAACCATCCCACACAGTGAGGTGAGCGTCACGAGGACAAATGCCAGCACGCTGAGGTTTGTGGGGAAGGAAGGAAATGAGTCTGTTCATTAGTACTGTGGGTGAGCTGCTGAACCAGCCTCACTGCCTCTCTCCAGACTCTGATGTGAAAAAAATTAAATGTCTTTATTAGCTAAGCCACTGTTAGTTGGGTTTTCTACTACTACGAAGCTCAACAAATTCCTAATGGACAGACTTGCGAATTATATTCATTTTTTCATTCATTCAACAAATACTGATTGAGGGCCTTTTTTTGGGTCAGGCTCTATTGGAGAAACTAGAATTCTACTACAAAGAATTTCCCCAGATTTACCTGCAAAAGTGGGCCAACATTTATATGTACAAGGATTAATGTCCACCAAGAGATGACTAGTTAAAATTAGCTATTTTCATGGTGTCCTATTACAAGAATAATGTGATGACATAAATTTCTCCAGGATATAGAATGTGATCCATTTTGTATGCATTTTTAATTTTTTTTTTAATTTTTTATATTCTGAGAACCTAAAGACAACCCCTCCCTACAGCAAAGCTACCTGGAGGGGACAAACTGTCTGCTTTGGAGCCAAGGGCCAGCCCCCAAGGAAGGAGGTCCAAGGTGGGAACATCCAAGGGACTACAGTAAACTAGTTGCCTACCCCTGTTCCATCCCCAACTCACATTCTCTGATAAAAGAAAAGTCAGCTGGCCCAAGAAGAGGCCTGAGGGTCCCACCCCTGAGGCTTGAGAGAGACATCTGTGGCAAGTCAGCCTAGGCTGAGCTCCCACCCACCTCTGCCCTCGCCACCAGGGCAGCGCCCACGTTCAGTGTTCTCATTAAGTCCCGTAATCCTGCTGACATGCTCAGACCCCCTAGCTCTCTCATCCTGGCCCTCAAACAGCACAGACAAGAAGGTCAGCACAGTCTTTATTGGGGAAAAGCAGCGCCACACACCATTGCTCAAACCCACGACTGTTTCCAGTGCTCAGGGCAGCAGCAGGAACAGAAGCAGGGCAGCGAGGGCAACGAGAGCCCCCGGGAGGGTCACAGCCCCAGGACGTCACCCTCTCCTGGCAGCCAGGACAAGCCCCCTGTAGTCACCAAAGCAGCTCAGGACAAATCAGGACAGCTAAGGCACTGGGGTCTCTGCAAAAAGAAGCATCGGGTCACAGCTGTGCCCTCCTGGCTCCAGCTCCCCTCCATCCTAGAGAAGCTCGGCATGCACTGCTCCCCAAAGCCTTGGATGGCGCCCTGCTTCCCAGACACTCCAGTCCAAACTGGCAGTGAAGACCCTACTCACTCAGCTGTCAACCTTCTGTCTCCGAAACAGCCCCCCCTTGCCCGAGCCCCACCCAGCTCCCCAAATGCATCACCCGCATTCCACCCTTTGTGCCTTTACTAACCACCAGACCCCCACCCCCACCCCCGTCCAGCATGTTCTCCGTGCTTTCCTCCCTTTGTCACATCCTGCCTAGCCTTCAGGGCCCAGATCTAATCCTACTTCGGGCTGAAAGATCTTCCCAAGGAGCCACACCTACTCTGAGAGCCTAAAAGCCCATGCGGTCTACAAAAAGGGTTCTCATCTGGGGCATAGGATCTTTTTCTCCCACTCGACTCTCCAGGGCAAGAACTTTGTCTCGACCCTCTGAAGTCCCCTACCCAGCACCTAAGCCAGTGGTCTACACACAGCAGCTAAGTGTGCTCTTATCAGTGATGCTGGACCTGACTCACCTAAGGCAGAATCAGAGCGGAGGGTCCAGTTGGGGTTTGTGGCCAGTTCTGGTGGCTGAACGGGCGGGACACAGAAGCGGCCACAGCCTGACTTGCAGCACTTTTCCCCGGCCTGGCAGTTCTCATCCATCATGCAGTTGACAATGCACAGGCCCACCAAAATGTGTGGACAATCACCAGCCCGCCCTGCAGGATAAACAGGCACAGGTAAAGAGACTCAGAAGCTCCAGAGGAATCCATCCCTGACTGTAACTAGATCTTAACCAAAGATCTGCCTGGGAAATCTGGGAGCTAGAGCCTCTGAGAATTGGTGGGGCCCCAAGAGAGCATCGGGATCAACAGTTTTCAAATGGCATCCCACAGAGTTTCCTGGAGGTCCCTTGGTTTGATACTTCTGTCAGTGGGCCTGGGTGGAGTGCCAAGGAGCTCCCCACTGCCTCCCCCAAGGCTGGGCCTCCCAGTGTCCCTTCCTCAGGGAGGCCTCCTCTGCCACCCCAGACAAGGTTTGGCACCCTGCTTTGTGCTCCTCTCATCAGAATTCATTACAATTCCTGATCTGTCTACCTTCCCTGAGAAGCTAATAAGGACAAGAATCTGTCTTCAGAACCTTGAACACTGCCTGGGAATCTACATGTTGTCTAAAAACAACATCTGAGCCAGTGATTCTGAAGTGGAGTTCCACAGTGCCTGGTACAAAAGGAGCATTCAAAAATAGGGATTTGTTTAGGGGCGCCGGGGTGGCTCAGTCATTGAGTGTCTGCCTTTGGCTCAGGTCATGATCCCAGACTCCTGGGATTGAGCCCCGCATTGGGCTCCCTGCTCCGCGGGGGACCTGTTTCTCCCTCTCCCACTCTCCCTGCTTGTGTTCCCTCTCTCACTGTGTCTCTCTCTGTCAAATAAATGAATAAAATCTTTAAAAAAAAAAAAGAAAGAAAGAAAAAGAAAGTCCTTGGTCTAGATACTATTAAAAAAAAATAGGGGGGCGCCTGGGTGGCTCAGTCGTTAAGCGTCTGCCTTCGGCTCAGGTCATGATCCCAGGGTCCTGGGATCGAGTCCCACATCGGGCTCCCTGCTCTGCGGGAAGCCTGCTTCTCCCTCTCCCACTCCCCCTGCTTGTGTTCCTGCTCTCGCTATGTCTCTCTCTGTCAAAAAGATAAATAAAATCTTTAAAAAAAAAAAAATAGGGATTTGTTTAAAAAATATATATTGAAACTAAAGAAATCAAATCAGGAATGCTTTTATCTGTTGTGGATATGTTGCTAAGAATCTGGTCAGAAAACCATGATCTTGGGCAATTCCCTCACTTTACAGATGAAGAAACTGGCTCAGGATGAGTCTGCTTCCCCGAGGTCACAGAGCCAGTCAGCAGCAGAACCAAGACCGCAAGCCAAGCTACCTGTCTTCCAGACTCGGGACTTTTCCTACTAACCCACACTGCCTTCCCCTAGCTCTTTCGATGCCAGCATGGGCCCCCGGGGCCCCAGGAGGAGGGGTGGCTTTGGGTTGGGGGCTAGGCGGACAGGAGGGATGAGAACTCTGACTCCCCCCAGGAAGGGAAAGACAAGGAGGCCATAGATGGCTCCCTCCCCAACCGACCCTGGAACTCAAGGATTCCTTCCCCCAGGGGCCAACATACCTCCCTTGATGTCTCCACGGCAGGAGTGGCCGCAGCCAGTGCTGCAGCATTTATGCCCCTGGGGACAGGACTCGTCCCTGTCACACAGCTCCTCGCACGGAAGGGGGTCCACAGGACATTCACCGCCAGACTCTGCCATTGAATCAGAGCATGGGGCTCAGAGGTGTTCATGCCCAGTGTTTCCAGTTATTTTTACTGTGACTCTTGAGGGCAAAATATCATTTTTCATTGCATATGCTAATCCATACGCATGCTTAAAATGTAGGTATTTCTGTGCATACATGTATATACTTTACAGTCTTTCTATTTCTTTTCTTTCTTTCTTTTTTTTTTTTCTTTTTAAATGCTGCTCATCAACTACTAAACTGATCTCAAGACTCGTAGTCTGGAAAATACTGTTGAGGTCTAACACACTGTGGCAAACAGACTTATTGCCAGCCCCATATTCACTCTCCCTCCCTCCTTCCTGTGGCAGACACCTATGGTCATGGCCCCCCGTGAACCACACCTCCCATATTGTCTCTGGGCTGGACTGTGTGATTTGCTTTGACCAACAGGACACCAGCAAGTGTGATGTGAGTAGAGGCTTGATAAGCACTTGCATATTGGGACTGGTCCTCTTAAAACACCCCCACCTTGGAAACCAGCCGCTACGCCAAGAAGCAGCCTGGGCTCAACTACAGGATGATGAGATGCCCCAAAGAGAGAGAAGCTGGATGAAGAGAAGCATCCTGTCTGGGCCAGCCACCGCTGAGCTCCCCGCTGAGCTCCCAGCTGCACGCAGCTGCGTGAGTGACCTAGCTTCGGCATATGTGGGCCTAAGAACTGCCCAGCTGAGCGCGGCCAACCCAAACAGCCGTGGGAAAGAGGCAACTGTTGTTATTTCGAGCCACTAAGTTTGGGAAGTATTTGTTATGCAGCCATGGATAACTGAAACACTTGCTAATAAAACCACAGGTGTGTTAGGAGAGGCAGTGAGCCCAGCCAGCTACAATGATTTGCTTCCCCAAATTACCCTGTAGCTCGGAGTGGGCCACAAGCTAAGACATCAGCTGGGAAAACTTTTGCATTCCTGATCCAGGTAATGCACCTTTCAGACTGCCCCCTGGCTCCTCTTTCTTCCAGTGCAAAGACAGACATAACACAGGGAGGTACAGCTGTCTTCTTTCAACCACAAGGCAACGAGTACGAGGACGAAGCCAAGGAATGTGAAGGAGAAGGAAAAAAAAAAAATAACCTCATCCTTATTAGCATCGTGGAGCCACCACCCCAGCCCTGGTCCCTACTTCAGGACTTCTTGTTACATGAGAAAAACAAACTTGTATTTGGTTAATTTTCTGTTGCATACAGCCAAGCACATCCATGATGTGCCCCTTCACCACCCCTCTGAAGATAACAACGCTCAGAGAAGAGAAGGGGTTTGCCCAGAACTACAGAGTGAGTCAGCGGCAAAGCAGGACAAAACTCAGCCTCTTGGTTTGGAAGCACTCCTTCCACTACGCCATCCGTAAAACACGCAGGCCCTGGGCCAGGTCCTCGGGGGCAGGCACACCCCAAGAAGCCACATCCAAACCAAACTGACTCGCCATGACTAATTCATCTCAGTGTTTATTTCAGGTTCTTTAGGTGGAGAGAAGAAGTGACAGGCTATTAAAAGCATTGTAGAAAACTGAAGCAGGACTGGCCCAGTGCCACGGAGTTGGGACACGGAAGTAAAATTGCCTGTGGCTGGCTCGGGGAAGTCTGCCATGATGGAAAAAAGCAAGCATTGGCCTCCAAGGAGGCTGCAGCTGAACAAACAGGGTCTAATCACCTGGCATCACAGGGTTTTCCTCAACAGTCCCTATTTCAAAGATTCTCTGCCATTGTCAGATCACATCAAATCTGATTTTTTATCCAGGAAATATGGTCATGCTAACTGCCAGATGTAGCTTTCCACACCTCCCCACCTGCTTGACAAACACTAAAATCTATTTAACAAAGAACAAAGCCTTTCATCCCACAGTTGAGAACGCTGGGCATAAAAACATCTCTCTGGTGGGAAAAACCTACCAATATAACTTCTCATGGGATTATAGGCAGAAGCACCCTTCCCAGATGTCACCATTTTGCTGAGCTTGGCCCTGAAGTGACCAATGCCAGGAGCACTCTGCTACTCTCTGCCCTCATCCCCAGGACTAGGCATAGAGACCAAACCTCTACTCTCTTCCAGCCCAAGCTTCCTTGAGGTCCCTGGGGTTTTGTCAAATAGTAGATGCAGTGAAGGGACTCTTGGGGAACAGGCTGAAGCCCTGGGGGTCAGAGCACATGCCCTTTGACCAGTGCCCACCATGGCCACCCACTGCATCCCCCATGTGTGATGCCTGAATCCCTGCCAAATAATTCCCTACTCTCCACTTGAACGCTGGACTTCATGACCTCCAAGCCAGACTATGACATCCTTACACTTTTTTCTAAGATCTGTTTATTTATTTATTTATTTTAGAGAGAGAGAGAGCACAAGCCAGAGGGAGAGAGAGAATCTCAAGCAGACTCTGTGCTGAGCACAGAGCCTGATGCAGGGCTTGATCTCACAACCCTGAGACCACGACCTGAGCCGAAATCAAGAGTCAGACACTTGGGGCACCGGGGTGGCTCAGTCGTTAAGTGTCTGCCTTCAGCTCAGGTCATGATCCCAGGGTCCTGGGATCGAGCCCCACATCGGGCTTCCTGCTCGGCAGGAAGCCTGCTTTTCCCTCTCCCACTCCCCTGCTTGTGTTCCCTCTTTCACTGTGTCTCTCTCTGTCAAATAAATAAATAAAAATATTAAAAAAAAAAAAAAAGTCAGACACTTAACCGACTGCGCCACCCAGGTGCCCCCATCCTTACACTTTATACTTAACTGAAATCTGGTTGTCAAGAAGTTCTTTTTTTTTTTTTTTTTGGTTTTGATAAAATTTTATTGAATCTATAGCTTAATTTGAGGAGATTAACATCTTAACAATATTAAATCTTCCAATCCTTGAGCATAGAATGTCTTTCCATTTATGTAGATCTTTTAAAAATTTCTTCCAATAATATTTTGCAGTTTTCAGTATAAAGATGTGGTGCAGCTTTCTTAAATTTATTCTTAAGTATTTTCATCTTTTTTATTCTATTTTAAATGGAATTTTTCTTAATTTCATTTTTGGATTGTTCATTGTTAGTATATACAAGTGCAACTATTTTTTTTGTATATCAAAATTGTATTCTGCAACCTTGCTGCACCCACTCATTAGCTGTAGTAGTTTTCTTAGCAGATTCCTTGGAGTTCTCTATATATAAGATTTTGTCATCTGTAAATAGAGGTAGTTGTTCATCTTTCTTTCCCATCTGAATGCCTTTATTTCTTTTCCTTGCCCAGTTGGCCTGGCTAGAACCTCCTGCACAATGTTAAATAGAAGAGGTAGAACATACGTCTTTGTCTTGTTTCTCACCTTAGGAGGGATGTTTTCATCTTTTGGTGCTCAAACTGTGGCATTTTTGTGCATGCTCTTTACTGCAAAATGGACCTTTCCTTTGATTCCCAGTGAGAATTTTTATCATGAAAGAGTGTTGGAACTTCCAAATGCTTTTTCTTTATCCATTGAAATTATTATGTAATGTTTAATTCTATTACATGGTATATCATATTGATTGATTTTTATATATTAAACTAATTTTGGTTCCTGGAATGAGGGCCATTTGGTCACAGTATATGATCCTTTTTATATGTTGATCAATTTGGTTTGCTTGTTTTTGAGGGGGGGTGTGTGTGTGCATGTATATTTAAGGGATATTGGCTTGAACTTTTTTTTCTCTCTCTCTCTAGTAATATCTTTTTTTTCTGATTTTGGCATAAGGGTATACTGGCCTCATAGAATGAGTTATGAATAATTCCCACTATTTACAATTTTTGGAAGCATTTGTGAAGAATTGTTATCAATTCTTTTTTAAACATTTGGGAAAATTATTACTAATTCAATCCCTCTACTTGTTATAGCTCTTTTCATATTTTCTAGTTTTTCCATTGTCAGTTTTGATTTTCTGTGTCCTTTTAGAAGTTTGTTCTTCTCATCTAGGTTATCCAATTTGTTGGCATGCAACTGACTCCCTTATAATTGTTTTTATTTCTATAAGGTCAGTATTGATAACCCCTCTTCATTCCTGGAAATTAGTAATTTGAGTCTTCTCTCTTTTTCTTGTTCATTGTGGCTACAGTTTTGTCAATTTTGTTGATCCTTTCAAAGAAAAGTCTTGCTTTTGTTGATATTTTCTCTTGTTTTTCTATTCTCTATTTTATTTTGTTAATCTACCTTCTTCTGTTTGCTTTGGGTTGAGTTCTTTTATTCTTTTTTTTTTTCCCAAGCATATTAAGGTGATTGGTCATATCACTAATTCAAGTTTGTTTGTTTTTTTACTGCTATAAATTTTACTCTACATACTGCTTTAGTCATATACCATTAGTTTTATCATGTTGTTTTTTGTTTGTTTGTTTTCATTCATTTCAATGTATTTTCTGATTTCCCAATATATTTTCCTTTCTGATTTCTTATTTGATTAACTGGTAATTTAGGAATATGTTGTTTAGTTTCCACAGATTTGTGAATTTCCTTTTCTTCTTGATTTGTAATTTCATTTCATTGTTTCGGGATACGTACTTTGTATGAATTTAATTATTTTAAATGGATTTGGGCTTGTCTAATAGCCTAACATGTGGTCTATACTGGATAATGTTTTATTTGGATTTGAGAAGAATGTGTATTGTCTTATTTTAGGTGGAATATTCCATAGTTGTCTGTTAGGACTAGTTGGATTATAGTATTGTTCAAGGCTTCTATTTCTTTATCTCTATGTTGTTGTTATCCAGTTTAAAAATGAATTATTTGTTTCCAGTTATTAGGCTGAGTTGTCTATTTCTCTTTTTAATTCTTTTTTTTTCTGAATTGATATCTACTGGCACTTTCTTTTTATATACCTATATGTTTATGATTGCATGTTTTTATGATGAATTGATACATTTTTCATTATAAAATATCCTTTATTGTCTCTTTTAACAAGTTTTGTCCTAAGTTGATTTTTTCCTCATATTAGTAGAAACACTCTATTTTCTTTTGATGACTATTTGCATAGTATATCTTTTTCCGGGCTTTCAACCCATTTGTGCTTTTAAGTCTTCAGTATAACTCTTGTAGACAACATACAGTTGGATCATGTTTTCTGCATGTTTTGAGGCATGCCTTCAATGCTCTCCCAGGCAGTTTACAACTCTGTCTTAGCCTTAGCTTTCTGGTTGTGCAGAGCCTCAAGTAATACAGATGTGAGAGATTAGGATATTTCGTGGGCATGTGCAAAGCCCTGAACATGCATGTGGTCTTCTTTATTCCTGGAAATATATAGGATGTTTGCATATCCCATTAGGTATGTAATTCTCCTGTGTTTGTTTGTTTGTTTGTTTGTTTGTTTGTTTGTTTTTGTCAGCCTTTTGTTATCTCTGGCCTTAGGTAGTGACAATTTTAAACAATTGCGACTAATTGTTTTCTAAATATGCTCTGAAGTTTAGAACTGTTCTCTCTCTTCCAGAGAGAGCTCAGATTCAAATCAAATAAAAACAGTCTTAGAGAATGGCCCTTTCTAAAGTCTTCCAGATAAGTCAAATAGTTACAATTATTTGGAGATAGGGCTTTTGTGGGGCGGGGGGGGGGGGGGGGGGGGTCAAATCCTTTAAGTGACTGACTACTACAAGGCTGGTTTTCATAGCTATCATAAGGAAATGGCTGTAGGTTTTTACAGTTACTACTGAGCTAGGAAAAGGGGACAGGACTAAGACAAGTTAAAATGTTCCCATTTCACTCTTCTTACCATAATCCAGCCTTTTTTGTCTTGAATAAACTCTTTTCAGATTGTTGTAAATCTTCAGGCAATTTCCAAAATTCTGGAAGAAGTTGATTTTGACAATTTTTCCTTTTGTTCTCATTACATTTAAGGAGAGGATTTTCAGAAGTCTTCACTCTTCCATTCTGGAAGTTTTTCTACAGTGCATTCCTTCCTCCCCAGGAGGAGAGGTGCAGGAGCGCACCGCAGGGATCTTCTGGGTTTGGAGACTCCACACGGGGTCGGGTGCCAGAGATAGAAACGCTCAGTCACAGGCCGGGTGAGCATGGAGTGTGGCCGGAGACCAGGGAGACGGGAGTGACTGATGGCTTTTCTCTGGGGGCTCACTGAGGAGCGGGGCCCGAGTTCTCGGCTCCTCCGGGGCGGAGATTGGGAGGCCGCCATTTTCACTCTTAGCCTCCAAAGCTGTCTGGTTGTCAAGAAGTTCTATCCAGGGGCACCTGGGTGGCTCAGTCGTTGAGCGTCTGCCTTCGGCTCAGGTCATGATCCCAGGGTCCTGGGATAGAGCCCCACATCAGGCTCCCTGCTCGGCGGGATGCCTACTTCTCCCTCTCCCACTCCACCTGCTTGTGTTCCCTCTCTCGCTGTCTCTCTCTGTGAAATAAATAAATAAAATCTTAAAAAAAAAAAAAGTTCTATCCATTGGCCCTTGTCCTATGCCCAGAGACCTTGTGAAAACATGGCTAGTGCCATCATCCTAGGCAAGGATCGTCTGCCTCCCACTGTCTCAGCTTTCCCAAACTAGGTAAGCTCAGTTCCTCATACCACATGGTTTCCAGGCACCTCACAGTTATCTAACCAGGAATCAGGATGAGAAACAGGAATGAGAGTCAGAATGGGAATGGTCATCCCCACCCTGCAAAAATGTCCCTATCCCAAGACCCAAGCTATCACAAAAAAAAAAAAAAGGAATAAAAAGCTGAAGCCCAGGAAATACTCAGACATGGGCTTTACTGTTATCCCAGCTCTAACCTTCCCCTATATCTGAGGGAAGGACAGTGGTGCTGGTAGAAAAGTGAAATCTCAGAACTTCTTAAGCCAAGAAGGGCCCTCTGAGGCCATCACACCTGCTCCTTTTGCAAAGAGACAGCCAGACATCCAGCAAAGGGACAGGATTGGCCTGAGATCATAGTGGCAGAATCGGGTCCCAAATTCCCAGCTCTGACACTAGGACCCAATGATGTGGTCCTTTAAGCCATATCATTATGATTCCCTCCAGGATTACCCAAGAACAAGAGCTGGGACTCACGCATGCACGGGGAGCCTGGGTGGCTCCCTGCTCAGCAGGGAGTCTGCTTCTCCCTCTCCCTCTGCCCCTCCCCCTGCTCCTTCTCTCTCTCTCTCTCACTCACTCTGTCTCTCAAATAAATAAATAAAATCTTTACTTTAAAAAGTCTAATAAAGAAACCTTTAAAAAAATTTTTGGGGGGCGCCTGGGTGGCTCAGATGGTTGGGCGTCTGCCTTCGGCTCAGGTCATGATCCCAGGGTCCTGGGATCGAGTCCCACATCGGGCTCCCCGCTGAGCGGGGAGCCTGCTTCTCCCTCTGACCCTCTCCCCTCTCATGCTGTTTCTCTCTCGCTCACTCTCTAAAAAATAAATAAAATCTTTAAAAAAAAATTTTTTTTTTAAATAATAAAGTAAAATGGAAACCAGACTGGGCCTCTCCTCCCCGCTTTTATAAGCCCTGCAAAGGCTTCCCAGTACTCTTAGAACAAAGCCTTAGACAGAGGCCCTGGAGACTCACCCGAAATCTGGACTCTCCCTAACTGGAGCCATCTTCCTTCTCCTTCTCTTTTCTCCAACCCCACTGACCTCCTTTCACTTCCTTGAAACAGTAAGCTCGTGCCTACTCCCAGCCTTGGCCCGTGCAGTTCCCCCTTCCCGGCATCCCACGGCCAGCACCCTCTCATCCTCCAGGTTGAAAGGACACCTCCTCCATAGCTCGCTTTGATGCCCCTTCACAGCCCTCATCACAATCGGTGCCCAGTAGTTAGAAGCACGGCTGCCTCGCTCACCACGAGATGTACAGATGCCAGCCAGGCCGACACTCGATACGGAGTGAGTGGGTAAGTGAGGGAGTGGACAGACAGGTCAGACTTGGGATGGCGGGGAGGGAACCTAAACAGAGAGGTGCTGGGCATCACAGCATGAGCTGTTGAGCGTTACTTGGCAGGTTTTCTACAGGCCTTTTATTTTTATTTACTTATTTATTTATTTATTTTTATTATGTTATGTTAATCACCATACAGTGCATCATTAGTTTTTGATGTAGTGATCCACGATTCATTGTTTTCGTACAACACCCAGTGCTCCATGCAGTTCGTGCCCTCCTTAATACCCATCACCGGGCTAACCCATCCCCAACCCCGCTCCCCTCTATAGGATTTTTAAATACATTTCTTCCAAAGTATATGATACAGACTGAATGTTTGTGTTCCCCCAGTGTGATGGACTTAGGAGATGGGGGCTTTGGGAGGTGATCAGGTCATGAGAGGGGTGCCCCCATGAAGGGGACGATGCCCGTATTGCCCCCTTCCACCATATGAGGTCCTGGTGAAGACGTGGTAGCCTATGAACCAGGAAGCTGGCTCTCAGCAGACACTGAAGATGCCGGCACCTTAATCTTGGACTTCTCAGCCTCCAGAATTGTAAGAAAGAAACTTCTGTTATTTATAAGCCAGCCAGTCTACGGTATCCTGTTCTAACAGCCCAAAGGTCATTATCACTCTTTGAGGTAAATATGTTTATCTCCACTTTACAGAGACAAAGGTGAGGTTCAGAGAGGCCACACAGCAAGCAGAGAAGCCAAGGATCCCATCATGCTCAGACCAGAACTGTCTCACGGGAGCAGGGCCCAATGTCTGCCCTGAGCCCTCGGGTGGCCTGACTGTCCCTCCACCTTACCAAACAGACCAGCACTGGCTCTGGTAAGCCTCTGGCAATGGCAGGGCTGAGGGAAAGCAGGGACTGTTCCGAGCCCAGGACGCACAGCTTCCTGTGACAGCGAGTGTAGCAACCAGTCTCACTGAGCGGCCCAGCCCAGGACCGGAGCCACAGAAAAGTCATTAACTACTAACACCACAGCCAGTACCACCTCCCGCCAGACTAGAACCCCCACTCAGCCAGTAAGTACACTCTGGGAGATCTGCAGGGAGCTCACTCTGGCAGGCTGCCTGACTCCAAGGGACAAGGAAGCCCCATCTGGCCCGGCCAGGGCCCAGGGTCACTCACCAAGGGTCTGGCCTGTGTGCCGGCCTCTCCCTCAGCCCCTGTCATTCGGCCATCAGCTTCACACACTGGAAGACTGTGCTGGGCCCTCCAGGCTGGTGGTGAGTGACCAGCCTGACACAGGTTCCCAGGCTCTGGTTCCAAAACTGGGCCGCAGGAGTCCTGGCAAGGAGTACAACCTTCTATTCTCCCTATGGGCAGGGCGCCCAAGAGAGCTGCTGAAACCAGACACAGACAGCTGCACGGGGCTCAGGGGAGGGGCCCGCTACCTGGGGAGGTTCAGCCAGAAGGAAAGAGGTGGTCACACGCTGTGGCGTTCCAGGGTCTCTGAGAGGAAGAGGTCAGGGGAGGAGAAAGCAATCCTGGTTCTTGACCAAAGGGGCTGGTTAGCAACCGCACTCCTCATGAAGCCCACCTTAGCAGGCAATAGGAAGGAAGCTAATGTCTACTGAGGGCTAAATGCTTCACATACTTTGACTCTCTACAACAACTTCCAAGGCTTACTCTTTCCATTTTACAGAGGAGGGAAATGTGGCTCAGGGAAGCAGAAGACACGTGATCAGGGACCTGCTGGCCAGTAACTGGTGAGCCTCAGGCTTGAACCCAGCTCTCTGATGACCAAAACCTAGGCTTTTCCACTGGAATAGCTGCCACGTGCACTCAAGAGGATGGTCCCAGTCTCTTTAGAAAACATAATGGAAGGCGTGCTGTAAGACCCCATTTAACGCAGTGAAGAAAAAAATAAAACTTAGGCATTGACTTATCAAGAAGTATTTTAAAGGGGCGCCTGGGTGGCTCAGTCGTTAAGCGTCTGCCTTCAGCTCAGGTCATGATCCCAGGGTCCTGAGATTGAGCCCCGCGTTGGGCTCCCTGCTTGGTGGGAAGCCTGCTTCTCCCTCTCCCACTCCCCCTGCCTGTGTTCCTTCTCTCGCTGTGTCTCTCTCTGTCAAATAAATAAAATCTTTAAAAAAAAAAAAAAGTATTTTAAAACTATAAAACACCTGAAATAAACCAAATGCACTTGGACAATGGGAAGACATAAAGATTCAACATAAAAATGTCAGTTGTCCCTAAATTAATTTTTTTAAGATTTTATTTATTAATTTGAGAGAGAAAGAGACCAAGAGTGGGGGAAGGGGCAGAGGGAGAGGGAGAAGCAGATTCCCCACTGAGCAGGGAGCCTGATGACACGGGGTTCGATCCCAGGACCCTGGGATCATGACCTGAGCTGAAGGCGGACACTTAACCGACTGAGCCACCCAGGTGCCCCCCTGAAATTAATGTATACATCTAACATCTCTCCAATAAAAGCAGCCTCCATATTTTCAGGGAGTGGGGTCGTGAGAAACAATATGATAATAAAATATATTTGCAAGCACAAACAAGCAAAATTAACCATAAAAATCTGGAAACAAGAGGGAAATGAGAAGGAGTGAGCCACGGGAGATACATCATCAATGTCTAACACTTTTTGGCAAGGCCTCTCAGGGACCGGGGGAGGCGGCAAGCACTAGAGCAGAAAATTTTGCAAGCCACGATCTCACTCCTGGCAGCCTCCTCTGCCTGCCTGGATCACATGCCACACAGATCATTCTGGCTGGGGTACCCGTTCTCTATCTTTTTTTTTTTTTTTTAGAGAAGTTCTCAGAATTTGACAGGCACTTAATTTTTGTTGTTCAAAGGAAAGAAAAGCCAACAATAGGATGGCGCAGGCTTATCTGAGAAAGAAGCAGGCAGGCCCAAGAGCCCATGGGCCCCCCAAGGGCAGTGTTTCTTACCCAGCTTTGGTTTAGAGACTGGGACCACACAGAGCTTGTTGCAGCCAAACGTGCAGCATTTCTTTGTACCTGGACAAGTCTCATCAGTGATACACCTTTGGAAGCAGGACTGTTTCCAAACAGCCCTGGGACAATCTCCTTTCCTCCCTGTAGCAAAAAAGGGAGACAACCATAAAAAAAAAAAAGAAGAAGAGAGAGAGAGAGAGATAGTAGTGACGCCTGGTGGCACCCACAGGTGTAGCAAAAGGGAAAATCAAAGGAAGGAAGCCCTGAGCTTCTTTAGGACTCTCAACCCTGAGAGGGAAAAAAAAAAGGACTCTCAACCCTGGTGCTAAAGCAGAGACAGTAACAATGATAAGAGCTCACATTTACTGTCACATTTACTGAGTTCACCTTGTGCCAGGAACCTCTCATTTGATCCTCACAACAATCCCAAGAGGTACAAACCATTATCTCCATTTAACAGGTGAGGAAATGGAGGCTTAAAAGCTTAACCCTTAAAAAGAGCTGCTTACGGTTTATTTGCAGCGTGAAAAGTCTGCTTGGCTTGGGGTCTACTCTTTTTTTTTTTTTTTAAAGATTTTATTTATTTATTTCAGAGAGAGAGAATGAGAGAGAGCACATGAGAGGGGGGAGGGGCAGAGGGAGAAGCAGACTCCCTGCCAAGCAAGGAGCCCGACGCGGGACTCAATCCCAGGACTCCAGGATCATGCCCTGAGCCGAAGGCCGTCGCTTAACCAACTGAGCTCCCCAGGCGCCCAGGGGTCTACTCTTTGGATCACTACCTCTAACAGGCTTCCCCTCACAACTTGGCCCTCCAGCCTTCACTTGGCCATACAGCCTATGAGCCCTGAGTGCATATAAAAGGCAGAGATCATCAGTTGTGTGTTCTTTCCTGATAGAAGACAAAGCACTGGGCACTGGGTGATTAAAGAAGAAACCCCCAAAGCGGGAAGAGGTGCTGCAGGCAAGCTAGATTTCCAGAGCCCATCTAGGAGGGAGGAGGCTCTCTGGGTCTTTCTAGCCCAGAGGCAAGGTCAGAGAGCACACCTGGATTTTGCCCCTCCAGCCAACATACCTTCTGGAAGGTCTCCTCGGCAGACCCGACCACAGCTGATGCTGCAACACTTCTGCCTGGCCGGACACGACTCATCCCCCTGGCACAGCTCTCTGCACGGGTTCTTATCAGGAGGGCATTCTCCTGCTTTCACTGCAAAAGATATCCCACGAGGTTGGGGTGACTGGCTAAGCCTCAAGAAATGGGGAATGGAAGCTGAGCGCACTTCAAGGATGTTCAGCCTCTGCCAACATTCCTATCCAAAACAGCTCTGCAACCACTGTCCCCTCCCCCCACACAACCCCTGAAACTCGCCCACCACTACCGGATGTCCAGCCACTTTGCGGATAAAGAGAGGGAAAGGTTGGGGTGATCCTGTTCACATTTAAGGAGCTCTAGGGAAACACTAGAACCTCTAATAAGCCAGACTGGAAGTCCTACCTCCTTGTCCAGAGAGGGAAAAGAAAGCCAGGAAGACCTACTCCGGCTGGCCTGAGAATCTATGCATCCAGTCCTGTCCTACAGAGATGACCATTCTCCACAAATGAGGACTCTCGCTCCAGGAAGAGGTAGGGGATGACTTCTTAGTCACTTTCTGTTGGGATCCCAAATAATAGCTCACCATGCTCTCCTGCAGCCACCCAGGATGTCAGGGACCCAAGAGCAAGAAGTGCCTTCAGGAAGAAGAGGCAGCTCAGCATGACGATGGCGCCGAGAGTTGAGATGAGCGCTCAGTCCAGGCCAGAGGTGTACACCTTGCCCAGGGCATCAACCAAGGGAAGGGCAGGACTAGGAGACTGGCCTAAACCCAGCCCCAAAGTCTTCCCTTTCGCAATATTCCCCAAGGATGTCTTCTCCTGACAAGAAGAAAAGTGACTGGTTGCTGGTGTGTGGGAAAATTCCTGGCACTCCCAAAGGGCACATGTGATGATGATCATCAGACTCTGTAATGCAATATACACAACACCCCTGGACGATGAGGAGGAACCTGGTCGGTAGCCGCGGAAATGGAGGGATGGCCACTGGACACAGGATCAAAAGGAGCCCTAAAGGACTTTGGAAGGACACAGCTGCAGTCAAAGTGACAGAGGGAAGGACCAGAGACGCAACTTAATAATAACCAAAGCTAATAAAATGCAGTGTGGCTCCTGTTCATGCTAGCAACCTAGAAAACAGAGAATGGAGCAGACTACTTAGAAGCCATCAAAAAACTACAATAAAGCCATATTTGAGTTTGTTCAGAACTGATACAAATGCACCAAGCACCTACATCTTGGTCTGTCTAGCTCATACAGGCCATTTTTGGATTGTGTGAAGGCTAGTTGACAGAACCCAAAAGAAGTGACTACGACTCAAGTAGTCTAGACCATCTATACTCCCTTTCTTCATCTCCTCTTCCTCTATTTCGTTTTACTTTTATCTGTCCTGCTTATGATTTTGGTCAGACATGATATTTAATGGTATCCATTGAGACTGCTTAGCCCAGTAAGATTAAAGAGTAAAGTAAAAAATCTCCTTAATAGAGCCAAAGAGTTTGGTGCCGAAGAGTTGCCTTATTATTTTAAGGCTGATATTGGAGCATGGAGGTAATTAACATTTGTTGACGACTTAACATGTGCTTTATATGTATTATTTATTTATTTTTCCTTTTTTTTTTAAGATTATTTATTTATTTATTTATTTATTAGAGAGTGAGCAGGAGAGAAACAGCATGAGAGGGGAGAGGGTCAGAGGGAGAAGCAGGCTCCCCACTGAGCCGGGAGCCCGATGTGGGACTCGATCCCAGGACCCTGTGATCATGACCTGAGCTGAAGGCAGTCGCCCAACCAACTGAGCCACCCAGGCGCCCTGTATTATTTATTTTTAAACCTCACAATAATCTTGCAGAGGTAATAAAACTGGTTCGGGGGGTTGAGAAAGAATGCCCAAAGTCATAAAGCTAGTAAGTGGTGGTTACTGAAATTCAATAATAGTAACGACAGATAGCATTGCTTGAGTGTTTACTTGCTCCACAGTTCTAAGTGCTTAACATGAATTAACTCACTTAATCCTCACTGCAACCCTATGAATTAGGTACTATTATCCCCGCTCTACAGATGGAGAAACTGAGGCACAGAAAGACACGTGGGTCACACAGTTAGGAGGTGGTAGACCAAAGGCAGGCGGCCCAATTCAATAGTCAAGTTTTTAATCACCATATCATCCTGGATTTGAACTCAGATCTTTCTACATGAAAAACTCGTACTTTTTACTATCCCATATTGTGACCTGATAAAAGTAACATCTTATCTCTAAGCCAAAGCTAAGTGGAGCTCTGGGGAACTCCACAGCTGTTAAAGCCCTACATCCCCTCCCCATCCCAGAATCACCTGTCTGAAGAGAGAAGCCCAGCTCCCTGGCGCTTGGGGAGTCCACGGGCCAAGACCCAAACTTCATTATGATGCCTTCAGATGCAAGAGGCAGCCCCTGAGGCCTAAGCCTGGAGGGACCCGGTGGGTGTTTGGGACGGCATGGGTCAGACCCCCCTCTTGTTGGGTTTTCAGGTCCCCGCATTACGCCCACTCTACGGCTTTCAAAGACTGATCTGCAGGCGCCGCTGTGCTCCCCTCCGCACCCAAACCCCAGCCCAGGGAGCCTGCTCCCCTCCTCCTGCCCCGCACTTTTCCACCGGTCTCGGCCCAGGGGAGAGAGCTCACGGACCAAACACCCGCAGTCTGCACCCGAGGCGCGGCCCCACCCCAGACAAAGCCCCGGCCACAGCGCTCACAGCGCCGGCAGGCGTCCGGGACCCCAGCGAGACGCGGCCTTGCGGTTCCCATGGAAACTCCGCGGTTCGCCGCGGCGCGCTTCCGGGTCGGCGCGCGGCGCGCTCCAATGACGTCACGGGGCTACTTTCCGGCCGGTGGCAGAGTCGGGCTGAAGTTGTGGGGCCGGGGGAGCCATGGGGGCCACTGGCGACGCCGAGCAGCCGCGGGGACCCGGCGGGGCAGAGCGGGGCGGCCCCGAGTTGGGCGACGCGGGCGCAGCGGGGCAGCTGGTTCTCACGGTGAGGACGCCCCCGAGGAGGCCGGGGCTGGGCCTGGGCTCGGGCCGGCTGGGCCTCGGGCTCCCGGGACCCTGGCCCGCGGGCGAGAGAACGCGGCGGCTGGTGCTGCCCAGGGGGTTGGCGTTTTCGCAGTCCGACGACCTGGGTTCAAATTCTGGTGCCGCCCTCCTAGCTAGGTGACGTGAGCCAGTCCTGTCAACCCCTGAGCTCCAGTTTCCTCTTCTGTAAAATGGAGATGATTAGTGCCGCCTCATAAAGTTGTTATGGGGATGGGGTGTAAATGCGAAGAAAGCGCCCAGCACACCACCTGCCCCAGCGTAGTCCCTCTGTAAACACTGGTTCCCTTCCTCCTGCCGTCCCCGAAAAGGTGGGGGTTGGGACTTTCGAGGCAGGAAACTTCACCTCGGTTCCTCCACCCCGGCAGGGCCTTGCAACCGCCGCCCTCCCGCCTATCCCAGGGTGGGAGAGGTGCTAAAAGTACCCGAGAAACAGGGGTGTCTACGTTTAACTTCATACTCACCCTCCACCTCTACCCCAGTGTCAGGGGCCTCAGTGACATCTGTTCCGTTGGTCCCCACAGAACCCCTGGAACATAATGATAAAACACCGGCAGGTGCAGCGAAGGGGCCGCCGCTCACAGATGACAACAAGGTAAGGCTGGTCCTGGGTATTTGCCTCCCAGGCATTGGCTTGGATGGCACCTTTGGGGTCCCCACTGCACCGAGGTGAAAAGAGATCATCAGCCATTAGAAAGAACACTGGACTAGGAAAGAGGAGAGTCAGCTTCTGTAACTTTGTGTGTGACCTTGGGTTGAATCATTGCCCCCTCTGGACTCATGTACAAAATGAGGAGGTATCATGGATTCAGCAGTGCCTGAGATCCCTAACGTTCACTGGGCTCTGTGGTTGAGGGCTCTAAAGAGGCAGAATAGCATGGAGGTTCAGAAAAAAGTGGGACTAATAGTAGTATATTTCTCAGTGAAGGGAGAGAGCACAAGATGGACCTACGGGATGCTGATTATATTTCTTGACCTGGGTCGTGACTAAGTGGATGTTCACTAAAACTATTTGTTAAAGTGTATAGACTTTGTATTTCATTAAACACTTTAAAAAGTAATACTCATTTCATAGGGTTATTATGAAAATGGAATAAAGCCATACACTTGTGTAGTTTGCGCAGAACCTGGGCATGTAGCTTGTTTTCAGGTGAAGCTATCTGATACTGTCATTAAAGGAGCCTGTGTCAATAATTGGCTGGGCAGACTAGGAAAATACGTTTGGGTCATGGCCCCCGTGTCTCCCTCCTGAATGCAGTTTCACAGATCCCGCCATCTCCATGGACCTCCTCCGAGCTGTCCTGCAGCCTAGCATCAATGAGGAGATCCAGACTGTCTTCAACAAGTACATGAAGGTGAGAGCGACAGAGACCCATGGGTGGGCCTTTCCTACATAACAATCCCCCTGGCTCTCTCTAGGACGCACAGATGTGTAAAGTCTTCCAATTATGAACTCCTGAGAACTTTTACCCCCTCTCTTCAGGGGTAATTTAAATACCTCTTCTGCCAAGCTATTATGAGGACAAACTAAGTTAAGCATAATGTGCTCAGCACCATGCTTCAAATAAGTGTTTTTATTACTTGTTTTACAGTATCAGCATTATTATTATTTAAAATTCCTTTCTAGGCCTCTAAGTAAACTTCTACATGACTCTACCTGATTGTCCCATAGATGCTTCAAACAGCATATTCAGAACTGAACTTTTTCTTCCTAAACCTCTTCCTCTTGTGTTTATTCATTCAAGAAGTATTTACTGAGCTCCCACCATAATAGCACTGTTCAAGGCACTGAGGATGTAATAGCGAATGAAATGAACAGTGTCCCTGCCCTCTTTAGACAGATACGTACTACATTAGGGAATGCCGGAGAGAAGGGGGAGAGAGTGACCAGTGGGGAACAGTAGTGGTGTTTCATAGATTGTGTCCGGGAAAGCCACATGTGAGCAGAGACCTGAGTAAAGGGAGGGAAAAACAAGCTATGCGGACACATCAGGGGAAAGCAGTCCAGGCAGAGGGAACAAGGGCAAACGCCCTGAGGCAGGAGTGTGCTTGGCACATTCAAAGCAACGAAGTCTCCAGTGTGGCTGGAGCAGACTGAGGCAGGAGGAGGGTAATAGGAGAGGTAATCAGAGAGGAAATAGGGGCCCAATTCATGCAGAACCTTTGAGGCCAACCTTTAAGGATGTTGGGGTTTACTGAGTAAAATAGAGGCTCTTCGAGAGTTTTGAGCAAAGCACTTAATCTGAACATTTTTAAAGGGTCGCTCTGACTGATATGAAGAGAATCATCTGCAGGAGGACTAGTTAGGAGGCTTGAGATGATAGTGGCTTGAGTGTTAGCAGTAAAGGTGTTGGGAAAGAGTGAGATTCCATGTGTATTTTAAAGGTAACAACGAGCTTTGCTGATGATTCAGATGTGCAGGGTAAAAGAACAAGAGAAGTAAACTCATCAGTTATCTGCCCTGGGCAACTATAAAAACAAGCCACCGACTTGCTATGAGGAAGACAGGAATGAGCAGGGGGAATCAGGAGCTCAGTTCGGGACATGTGAAGTTTGAATGTGACTACCATTCACTTAGAAACCGGAAACCAAGGACTCTGCCTTTCTTTCATCTTCCCCATCCAGTCAGAGTTCTGTACATTCCACTTCACAATCTGTCGTGCCCTTCTTCCTCGCCTCCGCCTTGGTTCAGGCCTTCATTTTCTCTTACCCAGGCTCCTCCTGTAATCCCCGAATGCCGCTCTTCTTCCCCTCTTTCATCCCACTCTCCCTACAGATGCCAGTGACCTCTAAGGTGTAAACCTAAGGGTGTCAATCCCCTATTTAAAATCCCTCAGTGCGGGCGCCTGGGTGGCTCAGTTGGTTAAGCAACTGCCTTCGGCTCAGGTCATGATCCTGGAGTCCCAGGATCAAGTCCCGCATCGGGTTCCCCGCTCAGCGGGGAATCTGCTTCTCCCTCTGACCCTCCCCCCTCTCATGTGCTCTCTCTCTCTCTCTCAAATAAATAAAATCTTAAAAAAATAAAATAATAAAATAAAATAAAATCCCTCAGTGAGCTCTTGGGTGGCTCAGTCAATTAGGTGTATGACTTCAGCTCAGGTCATGATCTCCGGGTCCAGGGGTGGAGCCCTGTGTCAGGCTCCCTGCTCAGTGGGGGAGTCTGCTTCTCCCTCTGCCCCTTCCCACAGCTCGTGCGTGCACGCGTGCTCACTCACTCCCTCTCTCTCAAATAAGTGAATGAAGTCTTTTTAAAAAAAGAGGAAAAAATGGAAAGGAAAACATTTTTTTCCTCAAGAAAATTTCTCTCCAGAAGCTCGTACAATTTTGTATTTATCCCAGCAGCATTTGCGAATGCCTTATGCAGGACCAGATTTCAATCTTAGGTCCAGAATCCACTTACAGTCACCCCTGTATATTCATCACACTGCCTACCTCACAGGCTGGCTGTAAAGAATCCAGATTGTTTTAGCTAGCTTTCACTTAGCCAGTAATCAACATTGAACACCAGTATTAATCTCTAGTTCTTAGGGTTTTTGGTTTTGTTTTTTAAGATTTTATTGATTTATTTGAGAGAGAGAAAGAGAGAGAGCATGAGAGGGAGGAGGGGCAGAGGGGGAGGGAGAAGCAGGCTCCCCGCTGAGCAGGGAGCCTGACGCAGCACTCGATCCCAGGAACCTGAGATCATGACCTGAGCCGAAGGCAGATGCTTAACCAACTGAGCCACTCAGGCGCCCCAGAGATTTTATTTTAAAGTGACTCATCTGACTATTCATTTAATTTGGCCTGAAGAGTTTTCCTCTTCATCTCGTGAGGTTTCTAATCCACACCTTCTCGCTCTTCTCCTTGGTTAAACATTAACAATATCAGGCATTTGGACTTGGCAAATATAAAATGAAAGTACATCCCCTTGGGGAGTGCCTGGCTGGCTCAGTCAGTACAGCATGCAATTCTTTTTGTTTGTTTGTTTTTGTTTTTGTTTTAAAGATTTTATTTATTTATTTGAGAGAGAGAATGAGAGACAGCACGAAAGGGAAGAGGGTCAGAGGGAGAAGCAGACCCCCCGCTGAGCAGGGAGCCCGATGTGGGACTCGATCCCGGGACTCCAGAATCATGACCTGAGCCGAAGGCAGTCGCTTAACCAACTGAGCCACCCAGGCGCCCCTCTTTTTTTTTTTTTTAGATTTATTTATCTATTTGAGAGAAAGAGAAAATGCAAGTGGGGGCAGGGGCAGGGGCAGAGGGAGAGAGAGAAACAGGCTCCCCACTGAATGGGGATCTCACGACCCTGAGATCATGACCTGAGCTGAAATCTCACGACCCTGAGATCATGACCTGAGCTGAAATCAAGTGTCGGACACAACCAGCTAAGCCACCCAGGCTCCCCAAGCATGCAACTCTTAATCTCAGGGTCATGAGTTTAAGCCCCAGATTGGGGAAGGTGGAGCCTACTTAAAATTTAAAAAAAAAAAAAAAGAAGAAGAAGAAAGAAAAGAAAGGAAACAAAGTACGTCCCCATAGTTGTCTCCCACAGTGTATAGGTACCAGAATTTTTCTGTGTGACGCTGTCTTCTGGAGACACAACTTGGACTCTTATTATGAGTCCTTATTATGAGCCTGTCCTTCAGTGTTTTCAGGCTCTAACTGTCCCTCTTCCGCCATGGAGGAACCTTCTGCCTTCCCTTTCCCCAGCTGATTGGGACTGCTGGTGTCCTGGGGCCCTGGCCAGGTCTCATGCCACCCATCCCAC